GCCCCCCCCCGCACCTGTCGACGTTGCTGGCAGATCAATACTCGAACCGCGTCGGGCCGACCGCCAGCAGTGGATGCCATGGCCAGGTGCGACCCGCCGCCGCGGGGCGGGGAAGAGAGATGCCCCGAGGTGGCGGCGACATCAGAGAGCGCGGCGGACAGCACGAAAGATGGGGTCAGCGGCAGGGGCGCGCCCAGGGCGGCGGAAAAGGAGGTGGTGTCATGGGCGCGTCCAGGCAGCGGAAAGGGAGGTCGTTTCATGGGCGTGCCCAGTGCGGCGGAAAGGGAGGTGGGGTTACGGGCGCCTCGAGGTGCAGCGGGAAAGACAATGGTCATAGGCATGCCCAGGGAGAGGGAACAAGCGGCAGTAGTCCGACGGGCTTGGCCAGGTAAACAGAAAGGGCTACGGTCACGGTGTTTGTTCATGTGTACGGAGAGAGCGAGCTGGCTACGGACGTCGTTTTGCCTGCGCGCATCGATACTTCACCAGCCCTCCAGCCCCCGATTTCGCCTGATTGCCGCTGCACTACGCTAGAAGCATGCAAAAAGCAGAAGTGCTGGCCTGTGCAATACATTGCATGAGTGTCCGCTGCGCTAGCCAGCGTCGCCAGCCACGCCACAGACGGCAGATTCGCATCTTAGCTGAAGCTCTAAATTGCCCTGAACTGTTTCAGATGACCGATTTTGGCTGCGCGGAAGGCACCAACTGGGGATCGCACTCCTTTGAGGGCGTTGGGCCTACTGGGTTCGGCGTGCTTAGCATGCCATGCGTATTGCGATTTGTCGCAAGACATTGCAGCACTACGATCACGACAGCTGGTTCGCAGTGTGCTACGCGAGAAACACTGCATAACCAGTGGGTGTAAATGCTCTGAGCACTTCCTGTGTAAAACGAGCAAGAAAGGCAGCCGGTCTGCCCTTTCACAGCCTATACCTTTTTAAAGGGAACACGACTCACGTCATCACGTCCTTTTTATGGAGCGCCAGCGGCTGCATTGGTCATAGTAGCGCTCAGGGGCCGTGACTCTGCCGTGATTGCAAGCTTCCCGGACCGCGCCCGATCCAGGAACAGTCCAGGCCACGTCAGATCCAGATCGCAGCACACACATTGCATCCCAAGAGGAAAGGACTGGGCCCGTTCGTAATGGGCTAATGGACAGCGGGCTGCGCTGCGACGCGCCCTGCACCCGGCCCATACGGCCGATGGTCTATTGGTCCACGGGGATGTGTCGTGATGGGGCGCCTAAAAGCCTCCACCCTCGCACGACCCATCACCGCGGGAAGTTTGCGAAT